GCTTAAATGGCAAATCTGGGACAGGTGCTGTCCTGAGAAAGCAAAAAGTGCCTCATACAGGCATTTTGGCAGAACCACAGCTACATTAGTATGGGCTGTTACTTTTCACAGCTCACATTAAAAGCCGGCTCTAGGGTAGGTTTGCCCTTACATACTCCACAAACGGCAAATACTCAAACAATATTCCAGTGAACCCTTAATTTGAGCCTGTATTTAAGCTATAGCTGCCTCTTCTTATTTACTGTTTCATTTTTGTTTTACTGTGGCTTGAAATAATGGAATGTGTCATGAAGATCTGGCAGTGCATAAGCTTACTCCCTGTGCAGCCCAACTTCCCACATTGAAGTCCCCAAGCAAAAAGATGCTGGGTGATGCTTGTAGATGATTAGAAGTCCTCTTTCATGTAGAGACTAAAAATTTTTGAATTAACAGAGCTTTAAGTCTAATAAAGCTCAGAATTTTGAAAAACTGTCCTATTTTAAAATCAAAAAAAGTCATAGCAAAATCAGGTTAACTTTTATCCTTTGCTTTTTTGCTATTAATTGCCACATGAAAAGCCTGAAACAATGGGGAAATTGTTTACTTCACATAGTTTTCATTTTTCCTCTGGCTTTAAAAAAATTTTATAATTCTTTTCATCTGTTAATTGAACTGCTCAAAGAAATATTATGCAATAATATCCAAGCTCCCTGTACTTTACATAGCTAATGGGAGAAACAGCAGTCAGGAGTCTCCCGTAGGTCCAGTAGGTTCTTGAAGTGGTGCAATGTAGCCTTTACACGAAAGCTGCATAAAACATTAGAAAATGCTTTCTTGAGAGTGGTAGCCTTTTTTTTTTCCCCTGTCCCTTTCCAAAAGATGCAAATTCCCTGAGGCCGCATCAACACAGCCAAGCAGCAGCATTTAGTGCTACCTCAATACAAGGACTCTGCTGGGAAGTAAAATCAGAGATTTAACTGATCTTAATTCTATCAGTGCAAATGAGGAACAGCTCTTTGAAAATTAATGCAGAGATTAGGTGTAAAACAATCACAAAGTCATTGTGGCCAACAGAGCTGGTCCAAGTGCCAATTGCCTTTCTCATGGTAGGTACACTGGAACAGGTTACCCAGAGAGGTGGTGGATGCCCCATCCCTGGTAACATCCAAGGTCAGGCTGGATGGGACTCTGAGCGATCTGATCTATTTTAAGATGTTCCTGCTCATTGTAGGAGGGTTGGCCTAGGTTACTTTTAAAGATCCCTTCCAACTCAAGCTATTCTATAATTCTGTGAACCTCCTTGAACAGTCAGACCCACACAGTGTTTCAAAGCCCACGCCTTCTAATAAGACTAAGATGTGTACATGACTGTTTTTTACAGCAGAGGAATAATGCACCTATGCAGAGTCCTTGTCCTTGTGAAGGAAAAAGAAATCCGCACTGTGACACAGTAAAGTAACAATAACACAAAGTAACAATGACACTTACATGTTATTGACCTCAACAACATCAGTAAAAGCTGAAGTGTCCTGACTTCCATGAAAGCAGTAATTTCAGCTAATTGTCTCACTGAATGTTTTCTCCCCCTGACCACATCTAGAGTAAGTGCAATAAAATGAACACCTTCTTTGGCAGCGAATATATAACCTAGGAACCAAATCAACAGGGAATTCACTTCCACTGCTCTCTCAAATTCTGTAAATTATCCAATTTACAGAAAATACTAATAATGGAGGTACTGGAGGCATTTGGGAGCACAGGATCAAAATTGGAAAAATGAGCTGAAATGCAGGATCCAGCAAACACTGAGACAGAGTCCACTCCTAGCAGTACCATGTTCACAAAACGAAGCAGAATTACTCTTGCTTTACTGAAGCGCAGAATTCTGAAGAGCAGAATTTGTCTTAAGTAATCATGGGAATGCGGGTGGGTAGAAGTTCAATGTAGACAATTAGGAAAAAAGTAATATCTCCCAGAAAAATATCTTACTGTCCTTAAAAAAGATTGCACTTTTAAACCTGCAAGGATTTCAGGAAAGCACTATTTTAGTCTTTAATTTCAGTTTGTCCATATTTTTGAACTGCTGGTCCTGCACTGAAGAAAGGCATCCTAAATTACGTTCTAAGAGAAATTCCATACTACTTCATTTTTATTTATTAAGCATACTCCAAAATATTTTGAAATATTTTTAAGCATTTTGATTGATATTTTCTTTTTCTGCAATAAAATACCATGAGAAAAATAGATCTATCCATTGTTCAAAAGGGAAAATATGAGTAACAACACAATTTTGAAAAGATAATTGGCTATGATTAAATGAAGAAATAATGGAAGAAAGAAAAGAACAAGTGCCGCTCACTACCTCCAGATATTCCAGGAGTATGTAACTTTGCATTTAAATGCAACCATCCTTTATAATTGAAAGCAATACAGTCTTGAAGAATACATCCAAAGAGCACTTCTTTCATGGTGTAAAGCAGAGTTCATATGTGGGCTTGATCCTCCCCTCTTCTTGACAGTATAACCCAAACTCGCCCATAGCTCTCATTCTACAAAGAAAACTGAGTAGTATCTCATATTTTGCAAGCCACTTAATCCCAAAGAGTTTTTAACATCCACTTCAAAACAGTGATGGCCACCCTACTGTGCTTTCTGACCTTCAGAGCACCAGAAGGTGCTGTGTAAACTGCTGTGCAAATCCATTTTAAGAATTCTGTGGCATTTGGTAGAAGATGTTCAGCTGGGAAAGTCCCTAGCATAACAGCACACAAAAAGTCACATCAGTCCTCCTCCCAGCATATAGGACATTCAGGGACAGATGACACAGCAAATATTTAATGAAACTAGACTATTCTTCTCCCAATTGTTTTCCTCACGTATTGCTACATATTCCTTCAAAGCAAGACTTTTAATTTTCTAAAGGTATTTGGGAGTTATTTTTTTTTCAAAAGCAGTCTGAAAGCATACTCAAAATTCCTCACAATGACCTATTAAATATTTACACTTACAGCTGTCTGTGTCAATTTTTTATTGCTGAGACATGCTATCCACCTTAGCTAACCAGGAACGTTTCCTATCTGCTTTTGGGACTGTCTAATTTCTAATAGTCATGTATTTATGACAGAAACTGAACATATAAACAGTCAGATTTGCCTGTTAAAAAACAAAGGTATAGATAGTGCTTCTGTGGATACACTCTTCTGTTGAAGACAAATCTTTTATGACTGCACCTCTTTAGCAATTAAGTACAGCCTCCTGTGTCTTTCTGTCAAAGAGACCTCAGAAGAAAAACTTAGTGATGATAAAAATTCTAAATATAATATTACAAGATGGTAACACTATCCTCCTAGTTGCCATTAGAAAACCTGCTTTCAAGCATTTAATTTTGCCAAACTTGAAGTGTGTCAGCTGAAGTTTTCCATCCTCAAAACCACAAGCATTCAAGCATTTATGAGGAATCCAGGGGGGAATTTTCCTTTTTTTTTTTTTTTTTTTTTTTGTGAATTTCCATTTGAAAAGCTTTAGTGCCTGTTTGGAAGGGCAAATTCCCTCTTTCCCCTGAGGGAAAAAGGGGTCAACAAATTCTTGGGCTGTGGAAGAGCTGCACATCTGCGAGGGCTGAACAGACGAAGGACTCTATTCATCATGGATTGATAATGCTGTGGTCATGGCCAAAATGCTCCAAAGGGCTTTTCTGTCCAGGAAAAATCCTTGATGAAAGTAAACAGAAAGCACCATACAGCTGAGTCTCACTTAATGGAAAGAGAGATAATCCATTAGATTTGGAAGAAGAGCTCCTCCTGCAGAGATCAAACTAGCCCAGGAATAAGAGGGGTTTGGGGTATACATACTGGCTGATGCGGGACTGAGAGCAATTAGTCCTAGAAGGTAGGATCTCTAGAAAATGGAAGTCTTTCCCTTTTATTTCAGTCCCATGGCGATTGTGACAACCTCCATGCTTGCAGCACGCAAGTTTTTCTACGTGTGTCCTTTGCCTTAAGCCTGAGAATGTTACTCTTCTGTTTAAAAAATGTGGTTCCTTAAAAAAAAAAGTAATAGTTACAGTTCACACCTCCTCAGCAGATGTTTCAAACTCTCTGAAGAGTCAGTCACTAGTAAGTTGCAGCCCATGGCTTAGAAACACTTTACCTGAAAATACAGCTATGGACCATGCTGTTCTTCTGTATTTGAATACTGATTCTTGATGTGGAGTCCAAAGCACACAGATGAGAAAGTAAGATAACTGAAGGTTGAAAAAGACCATCCTGAGAATCCCTGTGGTGGAAATAAATATTTAAATCTTGCAGAAAATTTGTGAATGTAGTGTACCAGTATGAAGCTGCAGCACAGAAGGTAATGTCTTGGTTAATCTGATTTTGAACTGAACAAGTATTAAAAAGTATTGAAGTGGGTTATTCCACATTTGCTTTGATCATACCAAATCTGATTCTGATATTCAGAGTCCTGCAGGGTATGATCTGGCTGCACTACACTCCTTTAGTTATTTATGAGACCATTGTGTTCTGGAGAATATCTGGATATGATACATACTGACAGTATATGATTTTGCTCAACAAAAAACTGCTAAAGCCTTTACCAAAGAGCATTATGGAAACTAAACAACTTACAGAAATAATTTTATCTATTTATATTAAATATTTTATGCATAAATTAGAGGTGTCTATTAAATATAATATTCTTTCCAGTATTGAAAGTGATCTGGCCATACTGATTGATGTTAAAGTGGGAGTGGTAATTTCAGTTTTTCCCTTTTTTTTAAAGAAAACTGATTAATAAATTCTCTTCTGGCAAATTTAACTGAAAAGGCAGCACAATTTTGTAAGCAAAAGAAAAAATCTGTGTTGTTTCACCAGTCACATACATGCTCTCTGCTTTTACCTAGAGTCAACGAACATTGAGAATGTCTAGTTTTTAAAAAAAAAAAAAGTTGTCTAAAAAAATATTTTCTAATATCGAGACAAATAAACTAGGAGAAATACAAGAAATGAACATTTTTCCCATTATTTTATTCTCATATTACTTTAACATTTCTGAAAATATTTAACAATTATTTAAAAGACAGAAATAGTTTCTTCTAAAGAGAAGATATTTGTCACATATTCCCTAATAAATTTACAGAATGCAGTGTAAATAGTAAGCCAGTAAAACTCTGCTTTCAAACAACAGCTATGCTGACTCCAGTAACCCCAAAGAAGTATAACAGGACTCCCATGGCATTTCAGAAAGATATACAATCCTTCTTTCTTTTAAATTAATTTAAAAATTTTGTCAGAGACAGATCTAGCTTTAAAAATGTAACACTTGTTATTTTGCTTGCATTTTCAGTCTAAAGTAGTCTCAGACTAGCAAAGCACTACAGAATACAACTAACTATAAACATTTAGTAAGTCCTTTGAAAGCCACTTCTGAGGTCTACTCAGAATGAGTAGACTCCTTCTTTTCTTGATCTTCTGTACTTATTATTGCAATAAAGGTAACAGATTGTACAACAGAAAAACTTTGGGAACAGCTTGAGGAACTTGCAGAAAATGAAGACAGAAGAAAATTGTAGTTTAGAGGGAACTTGCTTATGGCCAATTAGCAGTCTTCTTTCTCTCAGCAAGTTGTTATTCTCAGAGTACCACGGCCAAAGCCCCACAGGTTGGCAAGTATCAGGGTAGAAACAACTGGAGTCTACCATCCAAGGTGGCTGTGGTGAGCTGCAGTTCAAAAGAAAAGAACATATGGCTTTAATAAAGATTTTTCCAGTGAGAACAGTTTGCTTTAGAGTAACAAACCAAATGAAGATCATTAAGATATTTCTTTTATGTTAAGATGTCCAGGATTCATTTCCAAAAAAAGGAGCAACTTAACCTATAGACTCTTCTCAACGAAGCTAATCTGAAAATTCCATTTTACTTAGATTTTTCTTTTCCAACTATTTTCAAATTTGTGTCAACATCCGCTAACACATCAACAGTCTGTAAAACTGAAGCATATGTTTTAACCACATAGAAAGTCAAACAGACTTCAATGTGTATGACTCAAGAAGAGAGTATGGAAGAAATAAGAAAGAGCTGGAATAAATGAAAATGGAAAATACTGTGAATTAAATCAGGCATACCAACAAATGCAGTTTTCTAATTTTTATTGGTGTTAAATGTAGAATAAGAATTTCCTTTGCAATAAAGTATGTTGAAAAACTTCTATGAAGACGCAAGTCTCGAATACATGCACAAAGAGCCTTCAACTGCATTTAGCTTTCTTTTACCAGTCTCAGATCTTAATTATAAAATAAGAGAAAATACTATTTTCTGCAATTACTTCTACCAACAAGCACTTGAAAACCTGCTGTATCTCAGAAAGGGATGATCTACAAACTGTACCACTTATTTTCCATGAAAATTTCAAGATGCTTAGTCCTTGCATATTAGAATTTACAGTTATTCATACCAGCGATAAAAGTCTGAATAGCAGGAACCAAACGTGCATCTCATTCTCCAACCAGTTCATTTGGTTAACTTTGCACATTCTCATTTTTCTTGATTTGTTCTTTCTTTGATGCTTTTAATAATTTGTTTTATTACTTTGGATGAAGAGCCTCTGTGGTCAATAAGTTATCTTCTTGGGTTTGCATTCCCTCCTTCAACATCTCCAATGTTCAATTCTTCTAATCTCTCATAACTCTTATCTCCCAAGACCATGACTGTTGTTCTCTTATTTTCTTCTTTCTCACTCTCATTTATGTAACATGAAAGTATAGACTACCAAAAACTGTCAGATTTAATTCCTCCAGCTCTATTTTTTACAGCTATCCAAGACTATTACATATCTCCAAAGACTTCTAGTATCTCCTTATCTACCTCTGTAACTTATTATTGTGTTGTTGTTTAACCCCAGATGGCAACTGAGCATTGTGCAGCTGCTTAGGTCCTCCATCCACTCGCAGTGGGATGGGGGAGAGAATCAGAAAAGAACAAGTGAGAAAATTCATGGGTTGAGATAACGATAGTTTAATGGGAAGGAAAAGGAAGGAAAGAAATAATGATAAAATAATTATAAGATACAAGTGATTCACAATGCTCACCACTCACTGACCAATACCTAGCTAGTTCTCAAGCAGATGCACCAGGTCAGTTTTCCCCCAGTTTATATACTGAGCATGACATCTTATGGTATGGAATATCCCTTTGGCCAGTTTGAGTCACCTGCTCTGGCTGTGACCCCTCCCAACCTTCTCACTGGCGGGGCATGAGCAGCTGAAAAATTCTTGACTTGTTAGAAACACTACTTAGCAACAACTAAAACATCAGTGTGCTATCAACACTATTCTCATACTAAATCTAAAGCACATCAGCTACTAGGAAGAAAAATAACTCTATCACAGCTAAACCCAGGACATATTGTAAAGATGACATATCTATAAAATATCTAAATAATGTATCCTTTCTAAATTTCTGTAGCCATTTATCTTGTGGAAGAAAAACAAAAAAAGAAAATGCTTTTATTATTATTTCATGTTATCAAAAGAGAAATGATCTTACCTGAGAAATCAGACATGAATTCTATTCTATACTGAAGATTCATTATTACAGGAGATAATACAGAAACCTTGTTTAGCTTTCAATTTAAAACAAAATAATTTTAAACAAACTAAAGTTTTACAAGACCCAAGGAGGTCATCTTGTCCATCTTCACGCTCTAGGTGCAACCACTGGAAACATTAGAAGAGTTTAGCTATGGCTTTGTCTGACTAAATATTGAAAATTTTCAAGAAAATTTTACAACTCGTTCCAGTACTGCACTGCCCTTCCTTAATGTCCAACCTGAACCTCAAAAACTGCAATGTGTGGTCAATCCTCCGATCATATTCTCTGACAGTACTGAAACACGGCTTGGCTGCCACCTGCTAAATGTATTTGCTACACTGCTATTACATTCTTCCAGAGTCCTTCTGTTTTCACTAATCAGAAAAAATTATCTTTCTACTCCATTTAACCACCTCCACAATTTTGGCAGCACCATATCAATTATTAGACAGTTAAAACAACACTCATAATACAAAAAATTGCCTAATTATTAAAGAAATATTTCATAAAAAAAAGAGTTTTCAATGGGCTTAATGAGTCATTAGCATTCTGAGTTCTTTAAATATTGGTGTGGATTTTTTTTCTTCTCAGACTCAGGTTCCCTTGAGTTACATCTAGACATTATATGGGTTAATGTAAACTAGCTCTGCTCTAGTCCAATGGATTGAAAGTCTGTTAGCACATTGAGTGCATCCCTGGAGTTCATTTTCCGGTTTGGTTTCACCAGAGACAAGCCCAAAATGCATTCTCACAAACCATACAGCAGTGAGAAGTGAAGTGGGATAAATAGGGACAACTTGTTGAATCACTTCAAAAGCACATTTCTGATCCAACTAAATTGCTAATACACAGTCACAGGAAGCCCAGTTTAGCCTTCAGATTTTAGAATAGATTTCTATGCTGAAAAAGCATTTTCACTTGTCTAAGTGGCATACTTCATAGAATTATAGAATCTGCTGAGCTGCAAGGGACCCACAAGGATCACTGAAGTCCAAGTCCTGGCGCTGCACAGGACCATCCCCAAGAATCACACCATGTGACTGAGAGCATTGTGCAAACACTTCTTGAACTCTTGTCAGGCTTGGTGCTGTGACCAGTTCCCTGGGGAGCCTGTTCCAGTGGACAAACACCCTCTGGGTGAAGAATCTTTTTCTAATATCCAACCTAAACCTCCCCTGACACAACTTCAGGCCATTCCCTTGGATCCTGTCACTGGTAACCACAGAGAAGAGATCAGTGCCTGCCCCTTCTCTTCCCCTGGTGAGGAAGTTGTAGAGTGCTATGAGATTTCCCCTAAGTCTTCCCTTCTCCTCTTTCAGAAGTGACTGAAGATAAATGTGGAATACCCATAACAACAGTTTACAGTCTGTTAAATTTCGGACAATATAGAAATTTTAATTAGTAGTACAATAGTAATAGGATAACAGTATAAAGTTGATTGCAACCTTTATTAATATAGATAAAAAGAGGTACTAAAAATCTAACCTGTAGGACCCCTGAAATTCCTGATTTATTACACTTAAGAGCTATTAAAATTGATTAATGAAGGATGTTCTGAGCTATATTTAGAATTTATAGAAATCCCAGTAAGATTTTAAAGAAAAATGTTTAACTTATGCCAATATTACATTTCCCAATAATGCAAGTATGTTACTTCATTCAAACCCCTCAGCTCGCAAACACGATACTCCAAAACTGTTTTATACTATATTTGAAATCTCAATAGGAGTTAAATCAATATACTACTTAAAATTAAAAAAAAACCCACGAAAACAAAAACCCAAAAAACAAAAACAAAACAAACAAACAAACAAACAAACAAACAAATAAAAAAAAAGAAAAAAACACAAGCAAAAAACCCCAAACTAATTGTGTCTTACTATTACATATTCAAATTTTGGCATAGGTTCTGTGAATAATTTGAAACCTATGTAAAGGTTTCGTATAGGACACTAGAACATTATAAAATATTAGAGGGCATATGAAAGAGTAGACTATTTTTTTATGTCTATGTATACATGAGGGAAGAAAAGACTTTCAAGTAGGGCAGAGAAGATTGAAGTTTTGTGCATTTTAGAGCTTTTTACAGAAAATTCAAGGTTTAGAAAGCACCTCAGACACGTGGCGCCAGAACAGGGAGGAGAACAAGTTCTTGAACACAGTTCTCCTTTACATGGGCTGCACAAGATACAAAAGTTTACCACAATATAAAAGTTTAACACAGTAAAGTTAAAACAGTGCCATGCAGTGTTGGAAGGCTGTCAGTTAACAAACAGAATGAATTTCAAGACATTGTCCACTACATTCCCTTTTATACTAACACAGTATATATTTTTTTTTAATTATCTTTGGTGAGTGGGAAATACATTTCTGTAGTCATGCCACACAAAAAAAACCCCAAAAACATGCTATAAATTAGAGACCTCAAAATTTTAAGCCACAAACATGAACAGTTGGATTTGTATAGAAATGCATATAACCAATATTTTGTTTTAATATTTCACACAACACATGTGTATCTATGAATACAGGGCAGGCTTCAAGACGTACTCTACTTCAGAAAATAACAAGAATCAAAGTAATTTCAGCTAATTTCACATTAGAGGTACATAATATGATTTTGCTTTCTTTTAGTTAGTATAAATATGCATAATATTCAAGTAGAGATACAAATTTTGAAAAAGTCTTCTAGCTGCACAGCAAAAAGTATCATCTTGACAAAAGTCCAGTATCTCAGCAGAACAGATGAGAATATAAATTTTAGGAGTTTAGTATTTTCAGCTTTCATTATTCAAACTATTCCATGAAAATAAGAGGCCACAAGTAGAACAAATGCTCTTGAATCTTGCATTGGTTTCACAACTAGCAACAATCAAGAGCAACAGTAAAAGGAGACATTGTGGAAATGGCTTTTATTATATTTTAACTGTTCAGAAAGTGGTGCCTAAGGCAATGCTTTTATTTGGAGGAGAAGAATAGATAAACTGGAGCAAAGAGCTGGAGCTATGGTCTGTCTTGGTATCTTCAGAAGTGCTATAAACAAATACCTACAAAAGAGTGAGATAGTCTTTCCTAGGGAGTCTAACCTAGTGCTAGGTTAACGGTTATACTCCATGAACTTAAGGGTCTTT